GTGCTGCACAGTTTTGTTCCACCAGAGAGACTAAAAATAAGCACTAAACTAGATCCGCATCCCTGTCAAGAGTTTTGATTATCTCTCCATTTGTTACTGTTCCACTGGTCTACTTCACAACCATAAGTTTCCTAGTGAAGCTGACAGATGCTATTTCCCTCTAAAACCTCCAGAATCAAGAGAAGCCACTGTTAAATAAGTTATTTGTATCACAACTAATATTAATTAGTACAAGAAATTAACCACCTCATTTTCCTTACTAGTATTAGGATCAGAAAGGCAAACTGGGTCCAGGCCCACCTGCAGTAGTCGGAGACACAACTCCCAACTCAGGTTTTGCTCTGCTGTTTCAGTCCCTGTTACAAAACCAGTTCTTGGTGAATCAAGGTATTGCAGCATCCCGGTTTGTGTGGCACCACCCGCGGCTAACTCCTGACTGAAAAGAAACCTTGAGCCAAGAGATTATATGCAAATACTCTCATAGCCATGCAACATTACTAAACCGGGCCCAGAATAAATTGTGCAACCTTGCAGCAGGGGGACAAGCCATCACTGCAGAAGTGCCAACATGCCTCGCACCTCAGCAGAATAAATCAGCCCCTACGCAGCTTTATGGTTGTTTCTGGCAACCGAGCTGGCTGATTTCAAGCTGCAGTCAGGAAGGGGACCTGTGTAAACATTCATGATAGTGACAAGAAAGTGCTAATAGACTTCTTAATTGCTTTGTTGAGAGTAGGACAGTTAAGAGTTGGAGATATGATTGCAAGCAGGATAAGCCAAACACTTGAAGTATTTCATAAAAGTCCTGTTTACGTGCTTCAGTGTTCTACTGACTGCCCAGTCTGTGAGTATGAACAAAATTCGGTCAAGCCAGATTAGCCACAAACTTGCCTGAACATATCCCTCTGATCATCTGCTGTCACTATAGCAATCTTGGAATGAGGCTTGTCCGGCACTTTCCGATTCTTGGTATGTGGATCACATCTGATTTTTTTTTAGGAGCTAAAAAAATACTTGTACTAACTCAAGGAGCTAAGGGTTTTGTATCAAACTCAATGGTTGTTGAGAAATGTTGGAAACACTGCTAGCCTTAATTCAAAAACCAGACTTTTAAA